CGAGCGGGGGGCCGGTTCCCGCGGGGCCGGTGGCTCCGCCCGGGCCGGCTCGCGGTAGGGCTGCGGCTCCAGCCTGGGGGGGTCGCGTGGATACTCGGGCTCGCGCTCGGCCCCCGAGCACTCGGGCTCGCGCCGCCTCACCGGTGACAGGCTAATGAACGCTACTCGGCGCGGCTCCGCCATCCCCACTGTTCTGGCCCTCGGCTTTAGCTCGAGCCGGTGCCCGCTTCTACGCCGCCCTGCGTGCCTGCCCGCCCTTCCGTTTGCTCTCGGTCGCTTTTCTTCCCTCCACCGCCCTCAGCCGTCTCCGCCGACGCCACCGTGAGTGCGGACCGTGCCCCTTCCCCCGCTACTATGTTCTGATGAGCTCCATCGCCAGGGTCGCCGCAGCCGCCATGTTGGATCCCCCACATAAATAGAAGCAGGCCGCTGAGCGGGCGCATGCGCAGTAAGGAGACGCTCGCGTCCACCGTCGTGGCTGTTGCTCAGTTTTCCTCTTTTCCTCCCTACAGCCTGGAGTCCGGACAGGTCGGCGGAAGTGACGTCATAGTGCGGCCTGTTTCCTTGGAAACGGAGACGCCGTCTGTGCCCTTCAAAAGGAGGGGTCTGGGGTTTCCCGAGTAGCTTCCTATTCGCACCCGGACACCGGGGGCGCGCTTCGGGATTCCAAGGACGAGCGTCCGGGATGTGCCCGGGACCGACCTAGCCATGTCGCGGGGTTCCGCCCGACTCTTGTCTCCTGCTCTCGGCTGAAGAGAACGGGGTTTGTCAGTTGATTTTTCAAGGCGGACAACCAGAAAAGGAAGAGGGGCGCACGGACCGGCAGGTGTGCCTGACCGCCCAGTGCCCACGCCGCCCGAAATATCGAGGTGCTCTCGGCTGAAGAGAACGGGGTTTGTCAGTTGATTTTTCAAGGCGGACAACCAGAAAAGGAAGAGGGCGCACGGACCGGCAGGTGTGCCTGACCGCCCAGTGCCCACGCCGCCCGAAATATCGAGGAAAGAAAGGAAGTGGCCAGCTGCAGCCAGATTCTCCGCAGTGGCTTCTCTCCCGAAAGCGCAACATAGATTCCCACAGGCCTCCCCTTCCTAGACCGACTCCTGTTTTCCTCGCCTGGCCTTAGTGGGCATTGCGTGGAGCACGGTCGAAAAATGCTCAATAACGTTTTGCAGTTGCAAAATTGAACAAGCAACTGAACAGTTCTATTGGGCCTAAACTGTTGAAAACCAAAGAAAACTTACTAAGAGGGTTTGGTGGTACGAGCATTGTTGGGGACTTACTCCAAGTAGAATGCTGAATGACCCAGTTGGGGATGGGGGAGGAGCGTTGATTGGGCACACCTTGTAGGAGCACGTGTGATAAATTAATTGGAACTCAGATTTAAAAGGATGAGAATTATCGGTCCTTTTAATCCATTCAGTAGAAAGTAAATTTGAGGGCTCTCCCTCCACGTACTGAAGGGAGTCCAAACCTTCTGTTAATTGCATTAAACTATTGAGGACTCGATTGGGTCAGTGTGACGTCGTAGACAAAAATCTGAGTAGATTTAGTGTTTTGCTCTCCTATTACTTTCCCTCCTTGTGCGAAGATGATGATGGAATCGATCCATCCAAAGGTCCTCCCCAGCTCTAAAATGCTATTGTTTTTTCTTGGCACCATGTTTTACCTCCATTATCTCCGTTCCCATTGCTCCTCTTCTGATTCCGAGTTAGTGTCTCATTTTTGGATTGTCGTAGTAGCGCTTAAGTGACCTTTCTGCCCTCGGTCTCTATTCCTGCCAGTCTTGCAATGGGGCCATATTACTGCTTCTAAAACACCGTTTTTATTATACCATTCTCCGTCCTAGCTGCAACTTACCTGCGAAGTAGGTTCTACACTTGTGCTCCTTCCACAGTTCAGCTCAGACTGCAAACTGATGCTCTGTGGGCTAAATTGTTCTGCAAATGTGTTATTTACTCATCCAATATTATCTTCTGCTAACTTCCAACGCATCGGGTGTTTTTCCAACTTTTTGATCCACAACCCACAGTAAGAAATAGATTTTACATTGTAACGCAGTATGCATCCATGTATATATACTTGTACACACATATGCACACATCTGAAATACAAGTTTCACAATAATGTGTCGGAAAACGTAAAAACGACAAGTTAATTTAATATAAAAATATTTTTAATACAATGTGGAAATAAATCAATGTAAACAATACGGAAACAAATTGGAAAGATTTTATTTAATGCCATGGAAATCGTTGCCCGTTCATAGGTTTACTCCAGTCCAGAATCCATGAGGACAATACTGTATGCCTATCTGGTCTGCTGTTGAGCCTGATCTTTTCCTTTATTTTTAAACAGATCAAAATTGAAAATCCTAGTTCACATACATAAGCAGTTGAGAACAGTAATAATGTATGTGCACATTCTTTTTAGCAATAAATTCTTCTTTAATCTTAATCCAACATCATGATAAATTTCATGTATGGCAATCATTTTTCTGTGTAAACGAAGTACTAAGCTATATGTACTTCAAGTTTCATTCAATTTAAAGTTTTGGAAACCAAATGAATTTTATATATAATTGTTTTTATTTAATGTTTCAAATTATCTTCTGTTTTCAGTAGTTTCTTACTTCACATAAAAAATGTGTCTACTATGTTTCCTGGTCATATTGGGTGTTCCATCACTTGAAATTCCATTATAACCTCCATATAGTTTAATTTTTATTGACTAATTCTGAACATATTTTTCTCT